ACCTGGTCCCAGAAGGCGCGGGCCACTACCGCTGTGCTGCGGTTGGGGATGGCGACGGTGACGGTGACCGCCGTCCGGGTCACGTATTCTGTGGCTGCCAGGACGTACGCATTGCCCCGAGTGGATATCGGGTAGGGCCCTTGCAAGTCCAGTGCTCAACGTGCGCCTACGTCGCCAACCGCCAACGAAGGTAGCGGTGGCACCACCCACGGCTGTTTGGGTTTGCGCGACCCACAGTCTTTGCAGGCAGAAGTTCATACCCGTGTGGCGCGGGCCATACCCGGCCACCAAAAACGGCGCCGCAGCCGCTCAAGAGTGTGTGCATAGCCGAGATGACCGGACGATGCAGAATCATGGGCTTCTCGTAGTGCTGCATACCAGAGGGTATGTGGCAACAGCATACGAGGCCCCACGCCAGGGATAGCGACCTACCCCTCGGTGAAGGGTGGTGGTGTGATCGTTACCATCGCCCCGGTGCCACCCATCTCCTCAATTGAGGGCTGATTTCTTGGGCCGCCCGGGTGTGACTCAAGGAGAGCCCGACGGTATCGACCGTAATGGCCAGCGGCTTGGTGGGTCGACCGTCGTTACTAAGGCGGGCCTCTGGCGGGATGTCAAGCCGCAGTCCCGACAGGGTGAGGGCGTCATCGGTGGCGGTATCACGTCCTCCCCCTCCCGAGAAGGCCCATTCTTCGCGCGTGCCGCCGCGCCGATCGTGCGCTCTACGGCTGTCTCCATGGAAGTTTTGCCTTGTGGTGGAAAAATTGTGTTCCAGGCGTGTCCACACCGCCGTGACGCGTGTCTGCCCGTGTGCGTGCCGCCAAGTCGACGATATTTGCTGGTTGCCGAGACAAGGCGTTCGGCTACTACGTTTTCCTTGCCGGGCCGATAGACGAGGTCGACGTCCGTGAGTTGAAGTGCTCATCGGTGAAGTCGCGGGGCGGGGGTGCGCTTGGAGAGGAGCCATGTGAACACCTTGCGGCCGTATACGTGCGGTCGGAAGGCTTTCAACGCCCAGACGACCACTAGGCATTCCAACTCCGTAATGCCGTATTTCGCCTGCGTGGGCGAGTTGATGTGGCCGATGAATGCCACCGGGCGCATACCCTCTCCGTCGTCCTGCATCAACGCTGCTCCTAACCCCACCAATCTGGCATCGCACATGACGGTGAAGGGCAGCGTGAAGTCGGGGAACCGCAGCACCGGTTGGGCACAAAGTTTGTGCGTGAGGCATGCAAACGAGTCTTGATGCGGCTGCTCCCATCGAAACGGTTCCGTTTTTCGTGTGATATTGATATTGATATTACGCTGTAAAGTTACAATCACTCAGCGGGCACTTAATGGCCTTGGCCGCGTACTAGGTGGTTTTCACCTAGCGGACGTAACTGGGGGAGGGGAGTGTGGTGGGCCGTCCACTGCGGAGTCGTTATTGGCGGTTGATGTGGTTCGTCCACAAGCACGGGCGCTAGTGATGAGTGGTTCCAATAATTGGCTTCCGCGGGGGGCGTCGAGGGTGGACGCATCGACCACTGAGGATGGACAGTGGATTGAAGGGAAACCCAAATCCTGGGCATGACCACAAAGGCCAAAAATGTTGTTGCTCGTTGATACCGCATTGCGGAAATGAAAGCCATGTTTCGGCTTTCGAATGCCCACTCATGGCAGTTGTGTGTGGGCCGTATACCGGCGGTGAGAGTGGCGGGCTTGGAGTGACGATGGTTCAGGGGCGCATGGCGCAGTGGTGTATTCCCGTGGAGGGACCCAATGCCTGATTGTGAACCGGATGCTCTTGCCTTTAGTGCGGGTGAAGGCTTGTTGTGGCGGGACAGATGTGGCCACTGCATGAGACGTGTAGGGTACTGCTGGTTTATTGGCCCAGTGCTGAATAGGAAACCACGTGGTTGCAGCAGACGAAAGGACCGTTGTAAAGACGGGGCGGACTGGCTCTGATGGAATTGGATGTGCTGTTGTGGCGGCCCGGGGTGCCGGAGATTTGCGTGGTGGTGGAGTGTCGCCTTGAGGCAGGCTGCATCGAACGTCCAAAGGATGAAGACCGGAAGGAGCGAGGATGATGGGACTGTCGCTGCTGTAGAGAGGACCCCAGTGAAGGAGGGAAAGGAGGGGGAAAGCGGCTAAGGCTTTTTAGGACGTGAGTGGGAGCTGATGTGCAATGACACTGTCCCATGTGGACATTTCGTCGCGCAGCTCATCGGTGTGCTCTGGGTGGGATTGGAGGTGGACCAGGACGCGGAGGTATCCGGGGGAGTGAGGTGACATACCCAGCTTGGTTGGTTCCAGCGGTGGCACAAGGAGGATTGCCGACGGTTTCGGCTCGGTGCGCCGCGAACCACTTGTGGGGTACCAAGCAAATTTGGTATTCCGTTTTTCGTGTGAGTACTGTCAGTGGCGCTGCCTTCGATGCAAAATCCGCGATGAATCGCCGATAATACCCAGCCAGGTGGACGAAGGACTGCACCTGCCTTTCGTCTTGCGGTGGTGGGAAGGACCGTACCGAATCCAAGAGTCGTGAGATCGGTTTAACTCCGTCCGCCGTCAATAGGTGCCCCAGGTACTCGAGTTCTCTTGCGCCAAAACGCATTTCTTGAACTTCATTGTCAGACCCGCATTCCGGAGACGCCATAGAACCAGGCAACCTGGAGCAGATGTTTCTGAAACGATTCATTCGTATAGACGATGATATCGTCTAAGTAAACAAGGCACATCTGCCATGTCAAGCCGCGTCCATGGCGCGTTGGAATGTGGCAGGAGCATGGCATAGGCCCATCGGCATGCGGCGCCAACAGTACAGACCGTATTTGCTGGTGAAGGCCGTCTTGTATATATCGTCCGGGCACATGGGCATCTGCCAGTTGCCGGAGGACGAGTCCACCGTGGTAAACCTTTTCGCACCCCCGAGCTGTTCCAAGGTCTCGTCAATACGGGGTAAGGGATACACGTCCCGGAGATTCACAGCGTTGTGGCGCCGGTAGTCAATACAAAAACGAGCCAACCCATCCTTCTTTTTGACGATTACTACCAGGAAACCCCAGGCGCCACTGGCCGGTTCGATGAGGTCTTTGCGGGGGAGATCCACGATCTCGGCCCGGATGATGGCGTCCTGGGACGGCGACAAACGCATCTGTCGTTCTTGTGTGGGATGCGCCGTGCCAGTGTTGATGGTACAGACTGTATGTTCCACCCCCATGACCGCCGCGGGTAGGATAAAGGGATCGGCTTGTGTCAGTTCGGGGAATCGACACAGCACCCGTTGCATTTGTTGGTGCTGATCGGCGTCTAAATGATCGAGCCGTATGACCTCTTCGGCCGGAAGTGGAGCAGTGCATGTTGCATCAACCGACGTCAACCAGGCTTCGACAACGTCAATGGTGACGTCAACCATGTCCAGGACCATGAGTTCATG